AACGCAAATAAATCAATAAATAAATGGACAAAAGAAATAAAGACACTAAAAGAATAAATACAAATGGCCAAAAAATACATGAAGAAATGTTTCTTTTGCCCTAAATGTTCATCTTCTCTAGTAGTTAGAGAAATGCAAATTAAAACCATGTCAAGATTTTATCTGACTCCTGTCAGAGTACAAGTAACAAAAAATGTTGGTGAAGAAGTGGGGAAAATGTACAACATTGTTGGTGGAATTGCAAATTAGTGCAACCATTCTGGAAAGCAGTATAGAGATTCCTCAAAAAACTAGGAATGGAATTGTATGACTGAGCTATCCCATTCCTTGGTATATATCCAAATGATTTAAAATCAGCATACTACAGTGACACAGCTACATCAATGTTATGGCAGCACAATTCACAATAGCCAGACTATGTAACCAACTTTGGTGCTCTTCAACAGATGAATAGATAAAGACAACGTGATATTTATACAATGGACTATTATTCAGCCATGAAAAAGAACTAAATTTCATTTAACATTTAACTAAATTTCATTTAACTAAATTTCGTTTAACATTTTAGTCTCCAGTTCTATCCATTTATAATGGATAGAACTGGAGACTAAAATGTTAAATGAAATTAAATCAGTCTCAAAGTAAAGGGTTTAATATTTTCTCTGGTATGTGGAAGCTCTTCTAAAATTAGGTGATAAAAATAGAGAGGGAAAAGAAATGGGGGATTCCATTGAAACAATATATATATCAGGGAAGTAGAAGAAGGGAATTGATGGGGAGAGAGGACAAATGGGAGAAGGGAAAAAACAGTGGAGTGAATCTTACCTAATTTTCTAATGGACATATATGAATATACTCCAATGAATCTCATCATTATGTATATCCATAAGACAGTAATTTTTTAAAAAGTAAATAGATCAGTAGAGTAGAGAAAAGGTAATAGGGAGAGGGAGAATGGAGAGGTAAGGATAAGTACTAGGGACTTAATTGGAACAAACTATACTCCATGCATTATTAATTATGTCAAATAAATCCAAATGTTACATACACTATTATAAACCAATAAAAATTTGCTAATAAAAAAGAAATATCACACTGAACCCCATTAACATGTACAATTAATGCAGGCATATAATTTTTTTTTTTTGTGATGCTGGAGGTGGAACCCAGAGTCACTCTACCACTGAACTACATCTCCAGCCCTTGTTATTATAATTTTTTTAAAATTTTGAGACAGGGTTTTGCTAAGTTGCTGAGGCTAACCTCAAACTTTCAATCTTCATTTCTCACCCTCCCAAGTTCTTCTGGGATTACAGACTTGCACCATTCCACCCAGAAAAAATAATTTTTTTTAAAAAATTAATGTGATAATGAATGTAACAAATTCTGAAAAAAGTTCTATATTTGTTAGTTAAGATTTCTACTAATTGGTAATATGGACTGCTTATAGGCAATTACTAGGGCATCTGATCACAAATTTAGAATCAGCCCAAATGTATTTCCAAGCTGACATTTAAATAAACGTGTCAGTTTATTTATTTATTATTTATTATTCCATCCCTACAGTAAGTCAAAATGTTTCCATATTACTTGCATAAGTGCCTTAAGGGACTGTTTATGAGACTCTCTGCTTTTGTAGAGAGATATATGAAAAGTTTCTTTTAAGCACTGTCTTTGTCTCTGTAGGAGGATGAAAGATAAGGCCCAGACTATTGTCAATCAGCATCTGTTAGTGAACACCATCAATTCCTCTTTGGTTCTAACTCGAAGGAAAATTTGAGTTCTACCTAGATTTAAATCCTACTCTAGGACAGGAAATGAGGCTGCTATAACTCCATGTTCTTGAATTTTTGTCAAAATTTCCAGACTTTTGTAGCCAAACTTTGTGATGTGTATCAGAATGGTGCACAACCTCTTCATTGAAGTGTCCAGAAACATCTTTGCCTGGAGATGGCTCTCAGTTACAGGGGCTCTCTGGTTTGCTGTAAGTTACATTGTGCATTAGCCAGCGTGTTGTTTTCTTTGGATTCAAAGGGGGTATAAATCTTAAATATATAAATAACTGTGCCCAGGGCAAGGATGTTCTATGATTTCAGTTTCCTACGTCTTAGTGAGTGATCACACGGTATGTATTCAATTTTATATCCCTCCAGGACTCAACCTGATGCAGAGAAAATTGAACACATCATGTAGTGAGTGGCTATACAATAAAAGCTTTACTACCTAAAGAAAAAAATTACCTACATTCCAGAGAAATTTAACGGTTGAGTTCTTTCATCTCTTTTCACCTGCCTTGCCCCACCCTCGTCACTTTAAAAAATCATGAACATTTGGCTTTTTTGCTCTACTCCACACAAAATTCAAATTTGATGCCTCCTGTATCTTCTCAGTTGAGACAGGAGGCTCTGGGCTGTACCTTGGCTCTTCCAGTGGTCTTTCTGAAATCTGGCACCCTGTGGGGGACCTACCAGGAGGAAGGCAAAGCAGGACTGGGCTACTCCTCCTCTCCATAGTCAGCCTCTTCAGCTGGACTTTCATGTCTTACTAACAATCGCCCAGAGCCACACGCTTTTAAGCACTTGTGTTTTAAGTAAGATAAAAGACAATTTGATTCATCCAAATATGCCTTTAAGTTTGCATTTTATAGAGGCCAAGCTTGTCAAACTTTTTAGATTTGCTGTGTGTGTGTGTGTCTCAAAAGATTCAAGGTCCAATTAAGACCCATCTTTAAAAAAAAAAAAAAAAGCTATATCCCAAATGACATTTAGAAACAATAAATAAAAAACTTTATAACCAGGTGTTTTAAAACTTAGGAAAATTTTAATCTATTTCATTAAACATTTGAGAGCAATTTATGTTAGTCACTTGGGAGACAGAAAGTATACCAGCTATAGTCCTTATCCTTAAAGAGCTCACTATCTTATGATTGTCCTAGAAATCAGTACCTAGTTCAATACCTGCCACATGATAAACACCCCAGAAGTACTCATTATTTTTTTATAAAACAATTAGATCTTTAGATTTATATAGATTTTTAATTAGCATAATTATAGAATTTTATTTTAAAAAGGAAGAGAAATCTATGTTCCTATGTTTACTAAGTCTTTAGATCTCCTATTAGGGAGTTTAATAGTTCACTAGACTCTTCATTCCATTTTAGATCATTAACTCCCAGCAAAGAAATAACTACATCATCCTATCTGTACAAAAGTCAAATCAAAAACCTTTTTTGTTTGTTTGCTTGCAAACAGAATGGATGGAATGGTAGAATGGAAATCATTCTATTGAAGCAATTAGGAAATCTATGGAGTGCTTACCTTCTATGTGCCATATACTGGTTTGTGCCTTCTTATACTAGAACCCTAAAATTTGTTTCTTGAAGTGTTTCATTATTTTTATTTTTAATTTTCCAAAGTTTATTTTTGCTTAATTAGTCTCCATCTGATGTGGTGACGAGTGTGAGCTAAGGTTTGCTACCCAACTTAGCTGTGTGCTAGCTGTCTTTGCTAGGCAGCTGCTTTTGCCTGGAGTGTTTACTGATACTGCTGAAGGTCAGCATCCTTATGCTGCTTAGGAGTGCTGCTATTTGACTGATTTTTTTAGATACTGGCTGGGATCTTTCTGAGATCCCACCTTTATCTTTATCTTTAAATTTATACTTTTCCCAAAAGTGTCCTGAATTTGATCTTTGGCCAGAAGCTATTTCTTAATTTTAGTATCATAAATTGTCTGGAGAAGCTGAGAATTCTCAAATCCAAAATTTTTTGACTCCTTTTAAAGTCAGTCTTTCCTTTAGCTCTTCTCTTTTTGCTTGTATTTTACTATAAAGGCCAGAAGAAATGAGGAAGGACCTTCAGACTCTGCTTGGACACTTCCATAAAAAAAAAAAAAAAATCACCCAGTTCCTTGTCTCCTATTTTTCATGTTACCAAAGGGGACCTTGCTGCTAAATTTTCTTCCATTACATAAAAGGATCACCTCTCCTCCCCCCCAGGTTCCAGTTGTATTTTTTTTTTTTCAATTTTCCTATAACCTCCCCTAAAGCCTCCACAAAGGCTTCTGCTAAAAGACTCTTTCAGTCTAAAGAATTTCACTAATACTTTTCTCAAATTCCTCCAGCCCCTATGCACTGGACATTTTCAAAGCCATTCTAACAATTCTGGCTCTTGTTATGGTAGCACCTCACTCTTGGCACTAACATCTACATTAATTATCTTTTAGTGCATATGAAACTACCCTAAAACTTAGTGACCTAAACACGAATAACCATTTTTATTCACAGAATTTCTAAAGGTCAGGAATGCAGGAGCAGCCTCGTTGTCTGGTTCTGGCTTAGAATCTGTGGTTTGATTGTGGTCAAGATGCCTACCTGGTTATTGGAAAGCTGCTTCATTACACACAGTGTTAGGGTAGCCTCACTTTGTTACCACGTGAACCTCTTCAAAAGGCTGCTGGAGTGAGCTCATGACAGAGCAGCTGACCTCCCCCACAGGCAGGGATTCAGGTGAGAATGGGCAAGAAGTATTAATGCCTTTTATGACCAGGTCTTGGCAATCAAAGATCATCATTTCTACAATAATTATTAGTTACAAAGTTCAGCCATATTGTGTGTGTGTGTGTGTGTGTGTGTGTGTGTGTGTGTGTGTGTGTATGCATGCGTGCAGGGGTGTGGTAGGACTACTAAAGGGTGTGAATATGAGGAGGAAATTAGGGAGACATCTCAAAGGCTAGATACAATAGAGATCAGCAATAACAGGCAGCCAGGCAGTGGTGTGCTGATCAAACAGCTTTCTGAAAAATGAAGCAAAATAAAGACAAAGAAACATTTCTCCTATGGTCAATTTTGAGTTACCAGTGGTTTAACAAAAAGCTTGTAAAAATTCCCAAACGTTTAATAGTTGACCATCATGAGTTCAGAACCAACTGTAGTATGACATCACCCCCACAATCTGAGAGGCACTGGGAAGAGGCTGTGTTCTAGAATGCAAGGGACTAAGGCCATGCAGGAAGAGCTGAAACCCCAGCCAGCTTTATCAAGTATGAGCTGGAGACGTGTAGTGGAGCCGCTGACCTTGAGAAAACAGCCTACAGGAGATAGTCCCTGTGGCCTGGAGCAGAGAAGGGGAAAGGATGAGGGATGGATCTGATGGAGAAGACTTGGGACTAGACTGTTTAGGTAGAAAAAATGGAGGAGTTGGGAAAAATTCAAAGAGAAAGCACATTAGTGGTTCCCTAAGAACTTGAGATGAGAACAGGAAGTGACTGCAAATGGACATGAAAGAAGTTTTTGGCATAATGGTAGTATTTTAAAGCTGGATTTAAAAAAAAAAATTAATTTGTTCCTTTTATGAGTGTAGAATGTATTTTGACATGTCATACATACATAGAATGTAACTTTCCATTCTTGTGGTTGTACATGATGTGGACTTACACTGATTGTGTATTCATATATGCACATAGGATGATTCATATATGAACTGATTGTCTGATTCATTCTACTGTCTTTCCCATTTCCATCTCCCTCACCCTTTCCCCCACTGCCCCTCCATTCAATCCAGTGAACCTCCACTCCCCCCCCTCCCCCAACCTATTGTGAGTCGGCATTCACCTATCAGAGAGAACATTTGGCCTTTGGTGTTTTGGGATTGGCTTATTTCACTTAGATTGATAATCCCCAGTTCCATACATTCACTGGGAGTGCCATGATTTCATTCTTCTTTATGGCTCATATCCCATTGTGTATATGTATCATATTTTTTTTATCCATTCATCTGTTAAAAAGTACCTAGGTTAGTTTCATAGCTTAGCTATTGTGAATTGAGCTGCTATAAACATGGATGTGGCTGCATCATTGTAGTAAATATGCTGATTTTAAGTCCTTTGGGCATATGCCAAGGAGTGGGATAACTTGTCAAATGATGGTTCTATTGCACGTTTTCTGAAAAATTTCCATACTGCTTTCCAGAGCATTTGCACCAATTTGCAATCCCACCATCAATGTATGAGCGTACTTCCCCCCGCCCAACTTCCTCACCAGCATTTATTGTTACTTGTATTCTTGATATTTGCCATTCTGACTGGAGTGTGATGGAATATCAGTGGAGTTAAAACTGGACTTTGATGATAGGTACACACCTCTACTGCAAATTACTAAAATATATATGAAGAAGCTGGGATTCCATACCGTATAACTATGGAATATCAGAAAAAGACAAGGGTGTGCTTTGTGTTGTATTTGATATTTTAGACTTTAAGGTGGCCCCATTGATCCCACCTCCTGGTGTTTGCCCTGCCCCTTGAGTCTGGGCAGGACCTGTGACTTGCTTCTAACCAGTATAGAATGACAGAGGTGATAGTGTATTATTGCATGTTCGTGCTGTTACATAAGACTCCATTTTACCAACAGGCTCATCCCCTTCCTTCTTGCTGACTTTGAAAAAGAAATCTTCAATGAATCCTGTAGTCACAAGGAAATAATTTTTTTCAGCAATCAGTGTGAGTTTCCCCGGTCTAGCTTCCAGATCAGAACACAGACCACCTGACACCTTATTGTAGCCAATGGAGATGGAGCAGAGTTAGGCTCTACTTGAATATCTAACCCATAGAAATGCGAAGGAATAAATGTGTGTTTCTTTAAGATGCTAAGTTTGTGGCAATTTTTACACTATGATAGAATAATAAGCTACATTTTGAATATAACTATATGAAAATTATGGTAAAAATTATGTTCAATGTTTATGCCATTATCATTTTTTGAACACATTTTTGTTGTTGAGAGATGTGGTATTCTAGAACTGCATTTCCTTTCTTTCAAGACTTTTCATTTTCCAGAATAACTAATTGTAATTGTTGTCTTTAATTTGGTTTCTATTGCCAATTATGAATTCATCCCAACTTTCTGTGTAAGCATTATTTATTATCAGTGTGGTCAAACACACCAGAAAAACTATCAACTTAATTGTTGCTATTGAGGAGTTTGATTCCATTCTGATTATCTCTCCCAACTGCTATGCCTGAGACTTTTTCAATTATCATTATCTGCTGAATTCTGAAATTTTATGATGATGTGTTATGGTCCTAGTTCTCTTAATATTTATTGTGTTGGGCACTCAGTAGAAACTAGGAAACATCTTAGTTCTGGGGACATTCTCTCTCTCTCTCTCTCTCTCTCTCTCTCTCTCTCTCTCATATTCAATGTCTTCCTTTATATTTTCTCCTCAATGAGGAATACCTTCACATTCTATATTTTCCTTTGGATCTCTCTTTCTTGCCTTCTTATGGACTTTATACCTACAAATATATTCTGGGGTTGAGGAGTACAAATTAAGTTATGTATCTATTTTCCTCTTGAAGTCTCAGTGATTTAGCATCTGTTGAATCAGTTATCATTCATCCATCTGCCTTCCAGCTTCCAAAATATTGTTGTTCTTCTCCTCCTCCTCCTAATCCTCCCCCTATTTCCCCCTCCTCCCCCTCCTCTCCCTCCTCCTCCTCCTCCCCTCCCTCCCTCCTCCTCCTCCTCCTCTTCCTTCTCCTCCTCCTCCTTCGGTGGTGAGCTTAGTCTTTAATGACCTTCCTGTCATTTCTGTATATTTTTTTGGAAGAGAGGAACATAAACTCTTTGCTAATTCTAATATCGTTAACTAGAATCTGACCTGTCTACATTTTACTTTCCTGTTATCCTCTAATAGTAGTCGTGTGCAGTAAGATATCATTGTCCCTCTCTCACTGACAAAAGAGAGCTTAAATGAATACTTAAGGACAGGGGATATTCAAGTTTCCATAGTTATGAATTGTTGTGTTTTTTTTTTCATGTATAACATGATGCTTCCTAACTCTGGCCTGTATACTCAAACATTAGTAAATATGGAAATGAAGTCTATTCCAGTATTTTCCAAAGTGCACACCACAGAAAACTAGTCCCAGGAGAATATCTGATAAAAGAATTTCATAATCAACCATATTTGAAAAACAGTCTAAATGCTAATGGATTTAATTCTATGATACCATTAATTACAGGAAATTATTATTAAAACTTACTAGCAGAGTTTGGTGGAGTTGCTGGTGGGGTGAGGAAGAAGTATATTGACCATGTATTATAAGAAACACATAGAATTTGAGAAATGTGAAATCCTTGTTATGAACATATCTTAGAATTGAGCAAACACAATCTATCTTCCTTCTATTGCTCTTTCACAGTATTTGATATATTAAGGACTTGTAAATGGTAATAAATAAACCTATTAAGAATATTCAGTGTTTTCCATGTAATGCTACAAATATTCAAAGTATTTTTTTTCTTTCTATAATAACCGTTCATTGAACCTCTGCTATTTGCAAGCCACTGGGCTGTGACATGACAACATGATTGCAGCCCCTGGTTGAGTTTAAGTGTGGTAGATGTGCACCTAACAGAAGTCTTAGACTAATCTAATAAATTAGGTTGAGCTTATTCAAAGGAGATGACATTTACTTCACTCTTGAGGGTTATGGAGTTGGAGCAGGGAGAAGTAAAAGAACGTTCCAGGAATAGATAGTGCTTTTTCAAACTCTACACCCAGCACACAGACCACTACATTTGAAATAGATGCCCTCCCAATTTTCATCTGTGCTGGTAGGGAACCTGTACTTTTTACAGATTAAGGGTGATCTGACTAATTTCTCCTCTTGATGGTTAAACAATATTAAAAGGAAAAATACTAAGACAGTATTATTTTACATTTGCAATATTTACATTGAATAATTTTTGATACAATGGTTATAACTTCTTGAAGAGATAATGTCAAAATTTTTAACTCAATGCTCTTATGAATGTGAGACCCAGAGCAAATTACCCTTCTGTGCCCCCCTTCATGTATCCCCACATTTTGAACTTTACAGGAAGCTCACTAGTTCTCATAAGTTGAAGTGATAGTTTAGCATCCATTAGGCTACCTTCTGGAGGCATATGGAACAGATCGCTCTCTTCCACAGAAAACTCTTTAAACATGTGTGGACACATTTTATGGGTCCTAAAGGTGGTAAATGCAATTGCCTCTGAATTTCTCAGATGCCATAGTTTTAAGGACCTTCATTCTCCCAGTCCACCTGAAAATACTAGAAAATCAAAGGTTGTACTCATTTGTTGCAGGGAGCACCCCTGTGGATACAGGAGCATGGTAGCTTTTACTTACTTAAATGCAAAGCCTGACTGAATAATTCCAGACCCCTTCAACTCATTTCATGCTACCTGACGGGGGAATTTCCTTCACTGCAGCTCTATCTTGTCAGAACTTTCCAATAGTACATTCTTTCCCTGGATAGAGTGGGTGCTTTCAGGAAAACAAAACTAGTTTTGCATGTTACTCTGAAATCTGGGTCTTTAGATGGAAAATATGTCCCTTGAATCTCTATGTCAGTCCATCTGACATGTCCATGGACCATTCTCACACCAGTCACTGAAGATAAACCAGGAATGCTTGAGATGATGTTGGCAATTTCCGAGATTCCTTTCACTCTTCTTATCAAGTTCCATTTGACCCATCACCTGTTTTACACATTACTACTACTCTTACTACTAGTACTATTTTTGTAGTTGTCACCTAACTCTGACTGTATTCTTCTAAATGCTTTGATTGGATCTTATTTCTTTGACTTGTTCTCTTCCCAATGAACTCACACAGGTATTTTCTACTTTATTTTGGCTTTTTTGGAATACTTTCCCTGTAATATCTGTGTAATACTTTGGTATAGCCAATTGTGACCACTACTTAAGACAAAAATGTACAGTGTGTTCTTGGGAAAACTATTTATCATTAATTTTAGAGGCTTCTCCATCTTTCCTGAATTCCTGGGATATTTTTCATCTAATTATATAGTTGTTGCACAGATCTCCATATGTAAGAACTTCATGATGCTTATTCAAGAAAGTCCAGGTCAGGGTCTCTGTCTCTGAGCTCCTTGGGAAATCTCAGAATCCCAAATTTAGTGAGTAAATATTTGCCAATAAGTCTTCTAAAAGATTTAATAAATCCTTCCCCAGAAGAAAATGTTTCTGGTTGTTTTTTATCAAGAGCTCAGTTTATTGTACAAATATATTCCTTATAATTATAGTATATAAACTATAATACATAATATATAAAGTTATATGAATATTTACATTACTAAATGCAAATTTAAAAGGGGGTATAATATATGTAGAGTTAAATATCGATGTATACTCTTACATCTACATGAAATACTGCTGATAATTTCAAACAGGTTCTAAAGTAGAGGTGATCTTTTCATCATGAAGATTTTCTTATAATAGGAATTTATTATAGTAATTTATTATTCTATAACTATAATCTAAAAAAATTAAATGTCCCAAATAAGTGGAAGCTCCAAATACAGTTGGAGAAAAAGGGCTACTATACTATGGTTAAATTTATGTGTGGAAACTTTGCTCAAAAATACTTTAGCAGCCAGGTGTGGTGGTACATGCTTGTAATCCAGGTAGCTGAGGTAGGAGGATACCCAGTTCAAAGCTAGCCTCAGCAAACTCAAGGCACAAAGCAACTCTGTGAGACCCTGTCTCTGAATAAAATGCAAAATTGTGCTGAGGATGTGGCTCAGTGATTGAGTGCCCCTGAGTACAATCCCTGGTACCTGCCCCCCCAAAAAAAAACTGTAGAAAATGATTTTATGGTAATGAATAGCTCTTGAAAGTTAAACTTATCAGAAATACAGAGAAATTGGGAGGTGGAGGAGAAGGAAAATAGTAGTTAGGAGGGAGGCCACTACATACCTAGTTCAGGTGAAATGCAAATGATAGCATGGGCCAGGTTGATGTTGATGACCATTGCAGTTGTTTGGATCAGGGTAGATATTTTCAAAATAGGACAGACAAGTATTTTTGGTTCCTTAAACGAAGGATTAAGAGAGATAATAAAGACCCCCACGCTACATGATTTTGTAACTGTGTATATTGTGGTCCTTTTTATCAAGATGTAGAGATAGCTTTTGAGGGATATATAAAAACTCACAAGCAACTTCCCTCCATAATTTTTTCCCTCAAATATCAACTATGAGCCTTAATAAAAAGCATGGTAATTTTTTGTGTACTGAATATGGAACTCAGGTGTCTATAGTGCCTTATAAGTAAGAACAGGAGCTGGCAAATTAAATCATAGTCAATTCATGCTTCTAAGCACATACCACACCCATACCATAGACTAGATGACCCGTAAGTAACAGAATAGTGATGGATGCTGAGAAGTCTAAGATCAAAGTGTCAGCAGGCCCACTGTCTAGTAAGGACACTCTTCCTGGTTTGCAGATGGTCATCTTCATGATATCCTTATCTGTCTAGGAAAGACATCATCTCTGTACTATCTGGTCTTAAAAGGGCACTAATCTCATTCCTTAGGGCTCCACCCTCATGACCTAATTAACTCCCCAAAGCCCTACTTTCTAATACAGCACAATGAGGGTTAGGATTTTCACATGTATTTTGAGAAAACACAACCATTTTATCCCCAGTCCAACCTTTTTCTTCAAGAGCCAGATAGTCAATATTTTAAGCTTTGGCAAGACAGGAAGCAAAATAATGTAGGTACTTATATAACCACTTAAATTTAATCACTTAAAAACATAAAATACAATTTGGGCTTACAGAGCCATAAATGAAACAGGCAGCTGGCTGGATTTGGTCTGTGGAAGGTAGTTTACTGGTTTAGCTTTGTTTGTTGGAAATAAAGTTTTATTGACACACAGTCACACCCATTGGTTTACTTATTGCTTGGGGCTGTTCTCCTGCTACAATGCAGAGTCGAGTAGACATAATAGAAACCACATGTCCCAAAGTCTAAAAGATTTACTGTCTGGCTCTGGAGAAATAGTTGGCCAATCCTGTTCTGTATACCAGGGCCAGCTCCCTTTACTGTCCTGTGGGGAGGCTGTTAACTTCCCTGAGAATGTCTTGTTAACTTCCAGGGGGCCTATGCTCTCTTGGTCCTATCCACGTGTGAATCTTTGTACTCTTAGTGGATTATTTCACCACATCCACACATGCTCTGCCTGTTGTGTTACCTCAGAGGGAGAAGTCTGTCAGCAGTCTTTGATGTGCATAACCATTGCACAACAAAACCCAAGTGACGAAGCTCCGTTATGATTTTGTGTGAGCCAGACTTCCTGTGTATAGTGAATGTGATTAAATCCCTAACATAAAATAACTTAAAAATTGATTATTGACCATTTTCTTGTTTCTCTCTTTTTTTTAAAACAGTGCCCTGACCACACTAGCTTAGACTTCACTCTCTCACCATGTTGTTCTGATTTTCCATTTGCCCTCTTCTCTGTTCCCCTTCTCTGTTTTCTCCTATTTTGCAGAATTTAGCTTCTTCATCTTGTTGAGTAGTTGAGCTATTTTTGTTATTGCTTTGTGCCATTCCATGATAGGTTTCATCTTCAACTACCCAAGATCCTTACTGAGATATTAAACTAAAACTACTTCTTCCTTCTTAAGAAGAATTTTGTTTCTGACCTTAACAATGTCTATCTTAACACTAAAATGGGTGGTCAATGATCATATTCTGCATAGATACCTGCCTACTCTACTATCTGGCCAAAGTTATACCCACTCTATATTGGGGAAAAGACATTGTTGGTTCCCTTATTTATGTCACACACTATTAGAAACATGACCTACAGTACAATATTTCATTTAATTCTTCCTGATGTTATTTCATTCCATATGTCCCCATTTTGCAGATGAGGAAATGAGATTCAGATGTCCTTGTGTTCATAGCCACATCTCTGTTAAATGAGATTCGAATCCATCTTTCTACTGCTAATTTTTCAAGCTGTTTGCACAGATTTTTCGAATCTGGCCAATCTTTTATAGAACACCAGATACAAACAGAGGAAATATATCATTTTCTAGGGAGCAAGAAAATAACAAAGTATTAGTTGATATTTTTAGATACTTTCAACTGTTGGGCCAGATTGCGGAGAATGGGGAAATGACAGATATCGTATTTCTGTTCCAAAAAGGACAATAAACCACGTAAGTCGTTCTCCTTCAGTTAGTGTACAAAACAGGTGTGGGGGAAATATGATAAACAACCTTGTGGGCTCCAGTGAGGAAACACTTCAAAAAATATCATTTGATTAAGAGACAGCCCGCATGATTCAATGAGGAGGCGGAGGTATTGCCTTGGAAAAGCATCAGATAAAGAAATACTAAATGCCTGGAGAAGTGTCGTGGGTATGGGGGCTAAAAACAGCTTGTGGAATGGCAAACTTTCTGAAAAACATGGCAACAGCAAGTGTCCGTAAATGGCAACTTCACTCTCTGTAGATGAGTGGGAAACAGCAGAGGGTAATTTTTAGATTGCTTGTTTTTTTTACGTTAGTGGAGTGAAGTGATGCCATTGGAAATATTAAGGAGGATGAAAATGTGTTGATGACGAAAGAACACTTATGAAAATAGAATAGCACCAGGACATGGTAACCTGATGGAGATCATTTGGATGACTAAGTAGAGAGGATACTGCTGATACCTGAAAAGTACTGTTAGCCAATTAACGAGAATAGACCCTCTGTCCTCTGCAGCACAGGGGTGTGAAACAGTGTTCCTCACATCAGGAGGCCTTTTGAAATGTCCTTCATTATCTTCAGGTGATAGAAAGTCTCAGTTAACTAGATGCCTGAAAGACTGGGAGATTTTGGACAATTATATTTTCTGATTATTTGCTTGTTTCATAAATGTCCAAATTTTCTTTTTTTTTCCTCCCTTTTTAATGGATGCCTTGAAAATCTTGCTAGGTTTCACTATTTCTTTGGGTTAATAAAGACTCCTTTATTGATTCAATAGATTTTCATTGAGCAATTACAATATAGCTGGTTTTATGGGAGGTGGGGATGACATTAAGATGATTAAGATAAGGTCCCTGTCTTTGCAACAGTTCAGGAGTAATAGAGGTGTCTGAGGACTGCATGTTGAAATATTCTGGAAGCTAACCTAGGACAACATTTCTTATGATCATCAGACTTTGTATCCTAAAATTGGAAGGCAAAATAAGTCAGATAGATTCTGGCTGACTGAATGTAGAGTAAAATATAATAAAGATACTATCAAATCCAGGTGCAATTCTATTGTTTCTTGAGTTTTTTTTTTAAATTTTCATTAATTGTTTGGTTCTAAAGGTAAAACCCATTGTCTTGAATTATTATGATGGAATCTTACATTTTTAAATAACAATAAGCAATTTCTTAGCCCAAAAAAATTTTTTATATACATGTTTATTTCAGGAAACTTTTTGAAGGCCAGGCATACTTTTTAGGAATATATAACATTTGGGAATTTGAAATTAATATCTAACAGAAATATTACAAAACATTGTTTCATGAATCATAAAATAAGTCATAGATGATAAAGTAATGTTTGTATTGCATCAAATTATTTCCTTTAATTAGAAATACTGTTATTATTCTTTTGAACTGTGGTCTACCAAAAAGACCATATTAGACAAGGACTATTTAGCAAAATGTAGTTTCAAAGGACTTCACTCTCCCTCCTCCACTTTATGTTCTCTAATAAAGAGTACAAAGTTAAAGAAAGTTGTGCTGTGTTCTTTCTTCTCTCCCTCCAAACACTCTGTTCTCTCATTTTATTTCCTGGGAGCCTTGAGTTCTCCTTCACTCAGGAAAATGTCTGTGCTTTGGACTTTTCCTCCTCCTGTGCTATAAGATTTAAATTCAGCTAATTAGCTTAATGGTATGGATTTTTTAAATCCCTATGTTATATTAAAGTAACATATAGAAGTTTACTATCTGAGACATCAGAAGACATTCACACCTACACAACACACTTAACCCAAATGAATAGGGCTATTTGTGGAATCTCACCACCATCTTCTATTGAATAAGTGCTCATTGGACACCAACTTCTCTGTGAAATATATTTTAAAGAATGGATTGGGAGTGGAGAACAGGGGAAAAAAAGAACAAAACATAAAGCCCAAAATGCAGTCAACATGAGACTGAAACATTTCATGTGTCTAGAATGCAGTGTTAAATATGCTTGATAGGGAGGGGTTGTGGCTCAGCAGTAGAGCGCTTGCCTAGCACATGTGAGACACTGGGTTCAACCTTCAGCACCACATAAAAATAAATCAACAAAATAAAGACACTGTGTCCATCTACAACTAAAAAAAATTAAAAAATATGGTAGATACTATAAAAGAAGTCCCAAAACTTCAGTTGGAATTCAAAAGCAGAAGAAATCACATCTAACTAAAGGGATCTGAGGTATGACTTGTGGACAAGGTAATGTGAGCTTCATGGTTGGATAATATTTATGGTTGAGATATATATATCTCAACCGTATGTATGTATGTATGTATGTATCTATCTATCTATCTATCTCTGGGGATTGAACCCAGGGGTGCTTTACCACAGAACCATATCCCTAGCCCTTTTTACTTTTCATTTTGAGACAGGGCCTCACGAAGTTGCTGAGGCTGGCCTTTAATTTGTGATCCTTCTGCTTCAGCCTCTGGAGTTGCCAGGATCACAGGTGTGTGCCATTGTATCCCAGGGGTGAATAATATTCTAACAAACAAAAGGTAGATGAAGTATAGGTATGGCTGAGAAGGAGCTTCTGGTGCACTTTTGCAAAAATGGTGGGTTTTCTTTTTCTGGTTTTTTTTTT